AAGATTCTGGCTCGAGTTCCCAGGTAGGCTGCTTCAAAAGCTAGCTGGTAGCAGCAGCCAAGTTTAAACACTTGGTGGAAGTTTAAACACTTGGTGAACAGTAACTGTAGAGAAGATAGTACATCATGTTTCAGTTCATATCGCAAACGTTTACCATTAATAAAACAGGTAGTTAATGCCTTTTTACCTAGGACACTCATACAGATGGAGGAGGAAACCCCGCAGGTCCTGATAGAACGCAAGGAAAGAGGCATGATCAGAGAAATCAAAACAGAGCTACTGTACGTGACTGGTGCTGGTTATGTATGGGGTTGCTCACCCAAACACCAGCAGTTCAAAACCACCAGCCTCTCCCTGAGAGAAAGGCACAGCTTCCTATTCACACAAAGAGAGACAGCCTAGGACCCACAGGGGCAGTGCTGCCCTCTGCTCTAGGGGCGCTTATGTGTCAGAATCGACCCACGAGCACTGAGGTTTTGAGGCTTAGTTATTAAGGAGATACATAATAAAGTAGCCGTGAAACACGATTTGTGCTGTCCAGTTAACAAAGATTCGGCGCAGCTTCACACTACATAAGCAGCTATAATACGGTGAGTGGACAAGGGAGGAGTACGCATGTAAGTTGCTTTCATTGTGATGTTTTCTTACATTTTATTGATGAATTGAAAAAGTGATGTAGTGTTTTCTCATGAGAGTTATCACGAAGCTAAAAGAGGATAAAATTTGAGTCACAAAAAAAGGAGAGCGCTGTCATTACACAGTAATAGGAAGAACTTGGAGATAATCTAATTAGGTTTCTTCTCAGAAGATGTTTTAAAGCCATGAATGTCAATGAATGGAAAAACATATACATTATTGTGTTAGTCTGGGTAGACTAGAGAAACAAATTCATAGACACTGATGTGTATAAGAAAGAGCTTTATATAAAAGAGCAGTTGTATATTGAGAACATCCCAGCCCAGTCCAGATCAAGTCCATAAGTCCAATATTAGCCCTTTTGTCCAATACTAGTCCATAAATTCCTCTTTAGGCTCAGGCAACACATGCAATAAAGCCAAATGCAGGCAGATCACAGACCAGTGGGTGGAAAGTCTTGCCAATCCAGTGGCAGTAGAAGTATCTCAGTGCTGGAAGAGGTCTCCATGTGGCTCCTCCAGCTCCCAGGACTCTGGCTGCATCAGTGTAGCTCCAGCAGGCTCCTATCAGTAATGTCTCTCAGGGAGTGAGTCTGTGTCCTGTGTCCTCCAGCAAGCTGTTTATCTCCTTAGCGCCTCCAAATGAGGTCATCAGACTGCAACGGAATTGAGAGGCTAAACTCCACACCTTCACTCTTGTCTCAAATTGACAGCAGATTATGTAACTACCACAATTATTTTTTAGGGGGAAGGAATATAAAATGGTATACATACTGTAATCACAAATGTTTATTTGGGTAAAAAAGACAAGAGAGAAACCAATGTAAATTGTGAGCATTCAGTTGCCTCTCGTTGGTGGGATTTTTTTCAACTGTTTTACATGTAGCTGGACTTGCTGCATGTTTAGAAACACCTGTTATTGTAATGACGGGACGGGGAAGACTGTATTAACTCTTTGTACTAAGTCTTCGTTACCTTGGTTTTCAGCAGCAGAAAGCCCAGTCTTTCTTGAACCTGTGATCACAGCCCAATGTGTAACCACTGTGCCTCCGGGGCGCCTCTACCTCAGTATTAGAGAAATACAAAAGTAGGTTACTCTCGTGAACAGAATTCATTTGTCCCTACTTTCCAAAGTCTGAATTCAGAGTGCTGGTACTAGGGAAAGGCTTGTAGTTTGTTGGCCATGGGGGAGTCTTAGTCTCTGAATTTCTGCTCCCGGGCAATTGTTATTTATCTTAGCATCTCTACTCACTTTTCCAACCTACAAAAAGAGATTGATTCAAGATACTCCGTACAGTAATCCTACCTGATCAACATAACAACGCCACCCCATTGCCAACTAAAAACATACCACACAATTGTTTAAACTGAATGAAAATTTGAGTGGCTCACATTGTTTTTATTTGTATTTTTATTTTTTACCCTACTTTACACGCGGAAGCCAGATGGGCTATTGTGTTTGTCAACGTGACACTGGTAACTGGCTCTGTGCCTTTGAAGTCTTGCATCCTCACTAACAGAATGGAACAGAAAAGAAACTGAGGGCAGTCCTCCTGTGGGGAATGTTGGCAGTGGTGGCCTGCACATCCTGGGGGTGATCAGTAGCATTCTTTAGGGTGGCTTATCCACACCCAGGAGCAAGAGGAATAAGGTTGAACAAGTTCTTTGTTTGGGTTTTACAAAAAACTTTTCTCTATCATCAAAACCCCCTTTAGTTTTCTGAGACTGTAACTCTTTATGGGAGTCGGGAGCCTTGTCTTTCTCCCCAAGAGTGGCTGGTGGTTTCGAACTGCTGGCCTTGCAGTTAGCAGCCCAATACATAAACCACTAGAGCTCTTTTTCGTTTTATATGCCATAAGTGATTGGGAATTCATAATGTGCGAGGCCCTGTGTTAAGTGTTTGGCATGTATCATCTCATTTGATCCTCAGAGTGAGCTCAGGAAAAGAGATGTACCGAAAGTGGCCCAGTATTGCACAGCTAGGAAGTAGCAGGGATGGGTCTGGAGCCTGAGGAGCTTCTTGATCATGCAGTTCCCATCCCTCTTTACAGAGCTAAACTGTCCCCTGATCAGTTGTGGGATGAAATGTCCTCCTTCAAGCACTCTTACAGAGAGGCCAACCACACCTTTGGTGGTTATCTCTCCAGCCTCAGAGCTAACTATGCCTCATAAAAATAAAAGTATGCATTATTAAAGAAGCTCTCTTGGTACTGTACATTAGGCACTGGGCTGCCACCACGGCAAGGTTGGTGGTTCAAGCCTACCAGCCACTCAGCAGAAGAAAGCTGAAGTTGTCTGTACCCATGGAGATATACATCTCACACACCTGATGATTGGGTGGCGACGAGTTGGGATCATTGTGATGGTAGTGGGTGTGGTCGAGTGACTCTGCACCCGAGGAGCCCCAGGGGGCGTGGGGGTGGCAGTTGGGCTGCTAACCACAAAGAGCCCTTGAAAGCGCCAGCTGCTGCGAGGGAGAAAGACAGACTTTCTACTCCCACGATGGGTCACAGTCTCGGAGCCCCACTGGGACCGTTCTGCCCTGTCCTGTAGGGTTGCTGTGACTCGGAAATAACTCAATCGCAGTGAACTTGAGTTTTTTGAGTATACGGTGGGGGGGGCGGAGCAGAGGGGGCCTTAGCATGGTGGGTGGTTCGATGGTAGAATTCTCCCTTCCCTGCAAGAGACCTGGGCTTCATTCCCATGCAACGCGCCTCGTGTGCACCCAACACCCACGTTCCCGTGGACGCTTACATCTTGCTATGATGTAAGCAGAGCTTCCAGATTAGGGAGGCAAACCAAATGCGGGGACAAGGGCTGAGATCTACTGAAGTAACCCAGTGAAACCCAATGGATCACAGCAGTCCAAGCCCGTTGTGCGTGTGGTCGCCAGGAGGTTGGGAGCCCACCCACGGCGGCTGTCCACACCATACAGGCCATGGGATCCCGAGTCGGTCAACTGAACCCCTGGGAAATTAACAGACTGCCCAGTTCTGGGCCTTCCTCATTTAGGGAAAGAAAACTAGACAGACACTTCACCTACAATTTCGTTTAGTAGAGTCATAAATACTATACATAAATATTGTGTGCTGTACCTAAATTTTAATATAACTAATATCATAGAATAAGAAAAGGTTTTGCTGCTTAAGTACCACATATCATTTCAAAGTAGAAAAACCACAAATTCTCCCGCCTCTGTCATTTGGAAGGAGCCTCGGTGGTGGAGTGGATTACAATTTGGGCCGCTAACTGCCAAGTCAGTAGTTTGAAACCACCAGTGCTCCACGGAGAAAGAGGAGGCTTTCTACTCCCGTAAAGAGTCAGTCTTGAATACCCACAGTGGGTCCTTCTACCCTGCCCTCTAGGGTCCCTGTGAGTCAGAATTGACTCGATGGCAGTGAGAAAGTGCCATGTGGAATTGCACTTTAAGAAAAAAGTTACCGGAAACGCTTGTATCTGAAAATTCATAGCACTATGAATCGAAGGGTGATTTGAAGACACTGTCGTGCTCCGAAAACTTCTGACCCCTCAGCCTTTTTGCAGCATGTGGTAGTTACATAATCTGGTATCAACTTCTGAAGGGGTGGAGTCTAGCCTGTGAATGAAGTCGCAGCTTGCTGGCCTCATTTGGAGGCCCCAGAGAGATAAAGAGCTCACTGGAGCCAGATACACTCACTCCCTGCGAGACATTCCTGAAAACAAGCCCCATGGAGCTATGTTGATGCAGCCAGAGCCCTGGAGCTGGAGGAGCAATGTGGAGACCTCTGCCAGTGCTGAGATGTTTCCACTGCCACTGGATCCACAAGATTTTCCACCCACTGTCCTGTGATCTTCCTGCACTCGGTATCATTGCATGTGTTTCGTGAGTCTGAAGAGAAATTTATAGATTGGTATCGGACATATGGGCTAATATCAGACTTACGGACTTGATTTGGACTGGGATGGGATGTTTCTCAATATACAATTGCTCTTTTATATAAAACTCTTTATTATGCACATGAGTATTTATGAATATGTTTCTCTAGTCCACCCAAAGTAACACAAAGCATCATAGAAATTAATTTCAAAGGCAGTCTCAACATTTCTTACCCAACTGTTCTGAAATGTGGCAGGATGCTGGCCTTTCGGGAGAATGGTGTGAAGCTCTTCACAGCTTTATTGCAGAGACCAGTGAGGACTTGGCCTTCAAAAGGGGAGACCGGATCCTGGTCCTGGGGCGTTTGGACTCCAACTGGTACCGGGGCCGACTGCAGGACAGGGAAGGGACCTTCCCCGCCGTTTTTGTGCGTCCCTGCCCAGGCGGGACACCTGTAGGAAGTGGAGCTTCCTCCCCAAGAGCAGGTGAGAGTGTATGTCTGTGTGTCTGTGCATGTAGACACACAATAGCATACATGTGGGAATGATTCAAACAAGTCGTGGAGAAGTGGAGGGAAAAGAGGACAGGAAATTGTAAGCCCTCCAGACATGGACACATACATGCGCAGTCCAAGTCGTTTGCCTTTAAGTTACCTTGGAGAGAGTTGCTTCCGAGCATGATGAAGGCTTCATTCATTTGCTGCGGTGGAGTTACAGGAAAAAGAAAGACAAAAGCACCTTCATTTAATGATTGCTAATTGGGTCGACCAAGGGAGCCCTGGTAGCATAGTGGTTTCTCGCCGGGCTGCTAACCGAAAGGTCAGCAGTTGGAAACCACCGGCCGCTCCTCAGGATCAAGCTGAGGCTGTCTCCAGCCTGAGGCGCTGTGGCCTGAGAGACCCACAAGGGCAGTTCTGCCCTGCCCCACGGGGTCACTGTGAATCCGCATGGCAGTGAGTTTGCTTTTGGGTGTGGTGCCTACTAAATAGATGGTGCATGATTTTTAGCCCCCCACCCCTCCTCTACGATAACACCCTTCATCATTTGGGCAAATTAAATGTCTTCAAAATGAATCAAGACTGTTCTGTCCTAAAAGTGACAGGGGGAGTGTCCGGTGCTTTCTGTGTCTGAATTCCCGGTGTCTCCACAGCCGAGGTGAAAAATCTGCCTGCCGGGTCACTGAAGGGGAAGAAGGCCAAAGCCTTGTTCGATTTCCACGGGGAGAACGAAGATGAGCTTTCCTTCAAGGTCAGCACCTGTGTCTTCTCATCATGCGGCCGCGTTCTGGTCTCTAGCTGTATTCAGCAGCTGTGAATTTCAAAATGTCTTCTCTACCCTGACCGGTGTAGCTGTAGTGATTGGGTGGAGTCTTAGTGACCATGAGCCAAGAATGAAGACCTCGTAGCCCCTGATTCTAAAGGAAGACACTAGAAAAGGTGAGCCAGGTAGATTGGACAGGTGACTGCAATGATCAGGCAAGAGTTTGTGGGGGAACACAGGGAAAACGTCTTTGATATGCTAACACCACAGTCCCTGATCAGCTTTATCATTCCTGAGCCTTAGCGTATCTGTGCATGGTATATCATGCCCCCCAGTTCCCCCTAAATAACACATCGGCATCCCAAGTCCCCTAGCCACGTGGCTGTGATACCAGTGGGTGTGAGGTTTTCTGTTTAGTCAGCGAGGCCATATTGGTGTGCCGTGTGGCTAAAGCCCGTCACTTTGGAGGTACGTAAAGAACAGAGCAGGGAGGCACTTGCAGTCGAGTAAGACAGAGGCCACGCCACGTGGAGATTGCCCTAGGACTGGAGAACAGATCTGCAGCTGACAGAGAGGGAGAGAGGATGGCCCCTAGGGCCAGTGCCCTGGGTTCAGACTTCTAGCCTGCTACCTATGAGATAATTCATCTCTGTTCACTGCAGCCTCCCCTGTGGCATGTCTGTTACAACAGCTCTGAGCAAGGAGACACAGTGTGCTGCCGGCAGTGTTGGGGGTTCTGATAGCCCTAGTGAGGGGCTCTGATAGCTGCAGTGACGACTCCGAAGTGCTTGTGATTATAAGGAGGATGCAGGACTGGGCAGCGTTTTTTTGGTTTTGTTTTGTTTTATGTTGTACTTAAGGTCACATGAGCCAGAATTGCCTGAGTGAGAGCTGGCAACTTACAAGGACAGGCTGTTCCTCTCCGTGGCCCTCACAGCCTGCCGCTAACATGTCTGTGAAATAGCTAAAATGTTTTTATCTTACTTCACTAAAGAAGTGCTTTTTTGTTTCTTTCTTTCTTAAGTAAAAACAGAGCCGTGCCATGATCTGGGTTTTCCCATCAAGAGTAGACCATCCTTAGAGGAAAGCCCCAGAGGAGCACTGGGGGGGGTTCTATACCAGAGCAGGCCCAGGGGTTAAGGAACCAGATAGAGAATTAGGGATTCAGATACTTGGTTTTCTATGGGAGATACATTTTTTGCTGTTTAAGTCCATGATAGACCAAGCAGAAATGGGTAGAAACTGTAAAAGCGATACATTTAATTTGATATGTAAAAGAGATAAATTTTTCTTGATATGATGGATAATTTTTTAATAGTCAAGCTGTCTGAATAGCCTGTGTCAGACTGCGGTAAATTCCACGCCACTGGAGATGTTCAGTCAGAGGCAGGGAGGCTGTGGAACTTGTGTCTGTCCCACCTAAATATCCCGAACAGCTCAAGAACAGATTTGACACATGGAACACTAGTGAGAGAAGACCTAATGTGCTGTGGGAGGACATCAAGCCCATCACTCAGGAAAGCAGAAGGTCATTAAACAGGCAGGAACAGAAGAAAAGGTCAAAGTGGATGTCAGAAGAGACTCAGAAACTTGCTCTGAGTCATTGCATAGCTAAGCCAAATGGAAGAAATGGTGAAGTCAAAC